TGTGAGCGCTACAGCTTCAGGAAGAAGGGAAGGGCTGAGGGGTCCAGCACCAGGGCAAGAAGTTCTCAGAATTTAAGCCATCAAGGAAGACAGCAAGCTTCGCAGCAAACTATCTAATTTATATTGAGCGTGACATTCATGGCATGAAATAACCCTGTTGGCCAGCTTGGGTCAAGTGCCCGGGTTTCCTTCCTCCTCGTCCCTGCGCCTGGCTAACTTGAGAACACTCGAACCTTGAAACCCACACACCACAGCTGGCTATGAAGTAAATATTTTCACAGACACTACAACCTTCTAAAAATGCAGGTTTCCCTAACATTAAAAGAGACGTTACTGAAAAGTAAAATTACTGAAAGACGAATTAGTCCTGTGTCTCTCAAACCAAGACACAGGAAAAACATCAACAGCAACATTTCCTGGAGAATTCCCAGTACCCCAGATACCAGGGCTGCCAGTGCTGGTGAGGCAGCAGTCACAGGTCAGAGAATAGGGAGAAGGATAAGGAAGTGAGGTCACAGGGAGGGAATTTGGCTGATGCCAGCCAGCCCCGTCCTGCGAAAGACAACCTGGCAAACAAATCTGCTTTAGTCGTTCGGCAGGGAAAGGGCTTTGGGAGTGTTTGTGTAGCACCGTATGACATGCTGAAGAAGCGCTGACCAGGTCTAACGCTGGGGGCACAGAAAGTCAGAAAACAGGCATTCCAAAGAAATTAGGATCTGGTCTAGTGCTGCTACCTTTCTGCCAGTGATGGGGAGGTAGGCAGGAAATCAACCCCCATGACTTGGTGGTGCAGTAAATGAAGATACACTTAAATGTGCTCAGCTCAGTCCTCATTTGCGCCATGACTTTGAAGCTGTGGGCCTTGACCAGGCACTGAGAGCTCAGCAAGACTTCCCAGGCACCCAAATCTACATAGCTGCTGCTTCACAGCCGCCTTCCAATTCAAAACTCCCAAAATGACTTTGCAAGTGAATTACAACATCCCCTTTGTCAGGCCTGAGCTTTGCAAGACATTTAAGAGGCCAGAGCATCAGTATGCACTTGTTCAGCCCACTGCTGGCTTTCCCCAGTCTATATTTCACCAGCCAGTTGCTTTTGTGGCATCGGTGGCAAACAAATCGCATTCCTTTAGCCCTCTCTGTATTTCCCATAAACCAAGCTTACAGACAGCATCACTTCTATGAAATGCATCAGTATGCAAACACTTGTTCTACTTCCAGAAAGATTTTAAAACATATGAGCAATAATTGTTAAGATTTGGGATTCACGGTGGCCTTAAAAATTCATTGTTTGTTGTAGGATTGAGTAAGAAATGCTACACTCTGGGTCAGCGTTTCCTGAAAGCCCGGCTGAGAAGGTCTTGGGGGTACTGGTGGATAAAAGGCTGGACATGAGCTGACAATTTGCACTTGTAGCCCAGAAAGTCAGCCCCATGCTGGGCTGCATCAAAAGGAGCATGGCCAACAGGTTGAGGGAGGTGATTCTGCCCCTCTACTCCACTCTTGTGAGACCCCACCTGGAGTGCTGCGTCTGAATCTGGAGCCTTCAGCACAGGAAAGATATGGACCTGTTGGAGCAGGTCCACAGGAGGGCCACAAAGATTATCAGAGGGCTGGAGCACCTCTCCTATGAGGACAGGCTGAGAGAGTTGGAGAGTTGGGGTTGTTCAGCCTGGAGAAGAGAAGGCTCTGGGAAGACCTTATTGCTGCCTTTTGGTACTTAAAGGGTGCTTATAAGAAAGATGGGACAGACTTTTCAGCAGGGCCTGTTGCGACAGGACAAGGGGTGATGGTTTTGAACTAAAGGAGAATAGATTTATCCTGGATATCAGGAAGAAATTTTCTACGCTGAGCATGGTGAAACACTGGAACAGGTTGCCCAGAGAGGTGGTAGATACCCCATTCCCGGAAACATTCAAGGTCAGATTGGACAGGGCTCTGAGCAGCCTGATCTAGTTGAAGATGTCCTTGTCCATGGCAAGGGGGTTGGACTGGATGATCTTTAAAGTTCCCTTCAAACCCAGCCTTTCTGTGGTTCTATAAAAGCTGTGCCTGGGAAGGAATGAGTAAAGGCATTAGGATTCACAGCATGAGACCTGTCCACGGGGAAGTGGGGCCTGGCCCTGTGTTTCACAGTGTGTAATGCCAAGCAGTTCTGGGTATGCACCTCCTCTTCAGATGCCCACTTTTGGGTAGGGGTCCCTATCCCATTGCAGCCTCCAACTTCCCCAAATCTTCGCCTTCCTGCCCTACATGTACAGCAGCACTGCTCCCTTTCAGAGACATGAGGCAAGCAGCAGTGCTGTCCTCTCCAACCCATGTCCAAAGCATGTCCAGGATTCTTTGAAGTACTGCCATCAGCATTTGTATGTGGCTTGGTATGGCTTGGGGTAGATTTCCTGCAGAAATGGTGGGCAAAACAGTGTGGGGAATGCAGGTCTGGGCAAAATTTCCTGATCCTTACAGGATTTCTATTCAAGGTTGAGGAGGAACGTGGGAAGGACCTTTGAAACCATTCCATCAACCCATTTCTTGTTCCCTGGACAGCCCCTGAGCCCTTCGAAACATGGCTTCCTCAATTGATGCCAAAGCAGGAACCTGGGGTTTTTACCATCTGAACTGTGTGTCTGGTGGCATGGAAGGCAAGCACTCTCCCCAGGGGATGCCAGCCTGGCTCGGTGTTGGTGCCAGAGCCCATGAGCTTTACAGTGGCCCACAGCGCTCCCCACATCCGCTTGCCACAGCAGATTGATGCTTCTGTTGAGCTGATTTAGGTTCACGTGCTGTCACAAGTGGCTGATTACATTTGCACCTCTTGTCCCGTGAAGCCCACAGTCAGGCTCTAAAATACTGTTGATAACGCAGTGTCTTTTACCTGACCCAGGAGGGAGATGCTTTAGATAGAAATCTTATTAATGATGCAGCTGCAAGGCTCAGTAAAGTGGAGGCAACTCAGACTTCAGCTGAATAATTAAATCCCATCAATAGGACTTTCCAGGGTGACTATTTAAAATTAATAACTCCAAATGCAATTCTGGTATATAATGGAATCCACTGAAATGGGATTCATTTCTTTTTCTTTTTTTTCTTTTTTTTGCAATGCTTTATAGCATTGCTGGCAATTTGACAGCCACCTGCCTCTCAGCCCCAGCTGATGGCAGCTAGGAGAGGGGCTTGGGGTGGTTTCTGAATATTTTTAAGCTCCAACAAATAGGAAATAACTCCAAAACCAGCATCCAGCATGCTATTGCTCATGTTTAATGGACTAGCAGTATGCTGACAAGTAAATCAGGAGGAGGTGAGGAAGTCCTGTCTGAAGGAACATGTCTCCTCTGCCTAAGCAGATAGGAAGACAAAGGATCATCTAGATCTGTAGCAAAAGCTACATTTTCTGAGAAACAAAATCTTCCCTTTCCCTGGAAAGTATTGCTCTCACAACTGGCAGCTTTAACTGTGGTGAATGTGTTGAAGAAGCCAAGAGACACCATCCCTGGATGTTTGAAGTTATTCACAGATTTGCACACCCGTGCAGGTATAGTAGGATTAAAAATAAGGTTCGTGGGAAGGCACCAGAGCTTTCCTCCTTGAACGACCTCCAAGCAGCACAGGGGACGTCTTGGTGCCAGCATGCTGTTCATCATGTTTTTTTCTGGCCTAGCTTCATTCACCATCTACAGGCGCTCATCGAAGTTTGACTAGTGCTGCATGACTTTTCTCCCCCTCTTTGTTAACCTTTGGGGAGGCGTTCAGCTGAATTTGCATAATTTGTGATAGGAGTTTTGACAGTCAAAACTTTCCCTGCTTAGCCCAGCTCCTCCCTGGCTGTCCTTGCATGCTGTCAGAAAGATGTGTTTAATACAGGCCATGACCTCTAGATAAGTGCTTCTCTCCCTGGTATTTTTCTGCTGGCTGAGTCAAGCAGCTGCTTGAAGCCTCCCCGGTGGAGGGGTTTGTCCAGTTTTCCCGTGGGAAGCAAGAGGATAGTGGAGAGTGGCAGCCTTGCGGGTTACACATGCTGCAGATCATAGAGCAACTGGGAGCCTGCCATGGCTTCAGAGAGGATCTGCAGTGCCCATGGGCATCATGGAGTGGGTAGCCCCCAATAATGATGCTGCAAAAGGCACAGGGAGGAAGAAAGTTCACTGCAAATTTAATGTGAGAGGCAGAAAAAAAGGTCTTTTCTTTCTAGAAATGTCATCTTGCTTTAAAAACTGATTTTGATAGTGACAGGTTGAGTGGCTTTGCATGTAGAAAGTTGGAAATGAAACCATCGACCTGGTATCATGAGCAATTGGGCAAGGGGGTGGGAGAAGAGAATTACTCTTCCCCCAGGAGGAATTGAATGTGCTACTTCTGAAGTAGGGAAGGAGAGTGCTCCTTTTGGCACAGAGAGAAGGGCTACTTACCCAGCGATCTTCAGGAAAAGCAAAGACACAAAAACTGGGTTACCCCAAATAAAAGATGTACTGACCCAATGCAGGGATGCTCTGAAAATAAATGAGGGCAAGCCTGAAAACTAGCTTTAGATGGGCACAATTTAGCAAGTGGCCATGAATTATCTCTGTTTCCCAGGGTCAGGATCTGACACCAGCCAAGCAGGAAGGCTGGGAAGAGCTTTATCCCCAGGTTTAGTCCCTCTCAGCAGAGCCTCCTGGATCATGAGTATCCCTGAATACCTGTTCCCCCCGAGCCCCCAGGACTGCCTCTGCTGGCTTTGGGCAGCTCCTGAACCAGGCTTGGAGCTGGGTCTTACATTCACACAGCCATGCTTTCTCCCAGGCCTGTGGGCTTTCAACTCTGTCCTTTGCAACCTTTGTTTGGCTTCACCAGCCAACACTGCAATTTTTGCCCTACCCGGGGTGACCACATGCTCAGAAAAGCATTTAGCAGAAACCTGGGGAAGGTTTGTTAGGACTCATGGGGCTTGAAAAGATCATTTTGTCCCTGCGTGTCTGTTACTGATGGGAAAGAGGAACTGAAACTGAGCATTTCCTATCTGTAATTTTAGTTATTAGTAAATTTAGTAATGTAGTGCAGTGACTATAGCTCCACACCTGGCCAGTTCTTTCCAAGCAGGAGCATGGTTAGAAGGCATTGTTCTTGTGAGGGCTCTCCACAATAAAGAAGAGAATAAAGGCTGTGAAACTGGTTGCCCTGTGGCCCACTTTCCATGTCAAATGCTTTTCTTTCTCTCCGTGGTGGCTCTGAAGTAATAGCTTACAGCATGCTTTAATGGTAGCTGTTACAAGGTGAGAGGAAGTGATTGCTCTCAGGCCCCCAAAACATGTTGGAGTGTTCAGTGCTGTACAAAGACGGTGACGTTTTAAAACCTCTGGACCTTTGGCCACGGGGCATCACTGGCATGTGAAAGGGTAAAGTCACGCAACTCGGGAGATGGGAGCGTCCACAGCCTCCGTCAGTCTGCCTCGCTGCCCTCCTGTAATAGGGCTCCTGGTGCAGTGCTGGAAATTTCCAAGCATATTTCTCTGAGTCCTTGGAGCAAATCTCATCAGAGGATGCTGAAGAAGGCCGTGCTTAGGATCTGGCCAGACACGCGCAGCAAAGTAAACAAAACACGGCAGGAAGGTGGCGGAGTGGCCCTGACCAACCAGCAGGTCACAGGCTTTCGCACCCTCCAACGCGGAAACGTGCTTATTTAATGGGAAGGAAGGTCAACCCCGGTTTGTTGCAGGGCTGGATGAAACAAACCCGGCCTTTGCCTGCTGCAGAAGCGACGAGGAGGTCCGCAATACAGGAGCTTTTGCTGCCACTCCACAGGGTGAGCTGCGCCCCGTGAGCCCAGCGGCTCCCGAACCTGGCGGCCACCTCGGGGCAGGGGGAGACCCCCGGGGCGGCGGCTGCTGTCACACACCGGGGTCCCGGGGAAACCCTCTGCCCCGCACC